AATGTATCTTTTTAAAATATTGAATAAAATCTAAAAATTAAAAAAAAAGATCCTTTTAGTTTAGTTTAGTTTAGTTTAGTTTAGTTTAGTTTAGTTAGGTGGCTTTATATTTACTTCTCACTCTATATAATGATAAAGCAAACATCTTGGCCTGCAGTTTTGAATGTAGTGAAAATTATACTCTTAAAAAAACCCCTAGAGAATAAAGAATGGAAGCTGGAATCACACTATTAACACATAAATTAACACGATTAACCACTCATCATTGCTTCCAGAGGATTATCTGTATGACAGCTTTGCAATAAAATCATCTCTTGTAGTTTCTTTTCCCTTCCAACTTAGCAGGGATAACAGGAACAAAGAATAAAGGAGAATACAGATGAGTGTCTGCTCCTAACAGCAATGTATTGTTGATATGAATCAGGGATAGAAACAGGGACATCATTTCTAATGTTTCAATTTGCGGATGACTGGTCAGCAGGGGAAACATTATCAGCATAAGTCTGAAGAACTTCCTTTTGGATATATTCAAGAAGCAGTTGCATATTGCTGTGTATTTTAAGCACTGTTCTAGTAATTTTTAATAGCGTATAATGACTAGCAATCTCTTTATTCTGAAGGGATATGTTCCTCTGGCACACTTAGCAATTAGGGCCATGTAATTGTTTATAAAAATAGTTAGCTGTTACACTCTAACAGACACTCGAACATGAGTCACCTTATTTAATGAGGGCCTTAAATGATGTTAAGATTGAAATCCTGTAGCATTCTGACAGTCTTGGCTTCCCTATTAGAAAGTGCCTGAGTCTGATCTCAGGCACAGAGAGCTTCCACTTCCCCTGTTCAGATTTGCTTACATCAACCTGTTGCATGGCCTGTTCTGATTACTTTTAGTGAATTCAGCCAGCATGGTGTAGTGGTTTGAGTACTGGACTATGACTCTGGAGACCAAGGTTCAAATCCCAGCTTGGCCATGGAAACCTTCTGGTTGACCCTGGGCAAGTCACACTCACAGCCTCAGGGGATGGCAATGGCATATCCCCATCTAAAGAAATTTGCCAAGAAAACCCCATATAGAGTTGTCATAAGAAACGACATGAAGGCACACAACAAAAACAAATAACAGGAGCACTGAAGCCAGCGTGGGGACTGCCTTTTGTTCTTTCTATCCAGAGGGCTTATTTTGTGCTGCATTAACCGGTATTGCTTGTCTGTCAAGTAGTTTTCACCTTGAAACTAGTTACATAGGAAGCACTCATCTTAGGTCCTAAGCAGACTGGCGGCATGGGGCCGCCCTGGGAAGGTGTGCCACGGGACCGAGGCATCCCCACGCCTTGATCCTGCAGAGCTCCTTCGCCGCCCATGACTTGTGAAAGGAGCGCTATTTTAGCGTTCCTTTCACAAGTCAGCGAAAGTGCACTGCAAAAGCTTGCAGCCCATTTTCACTGACTTTTCCGCTGCAGCGTGTCTGGATGCTGTGGCGGGAGGTTGACCTCGGAGAGCCAGCCGTGTGGAGGGCCGGCAGCTCCGAGGAGACCTCGGGAGGAGGAAGAGGCACCGAGCGTGCGGCTGCCCCTCCCCTTCCTTGCCCTTTTTAAGCCATCTGCCGAGGCCCTAAGAGAGGTGGAATAGTGTAATGGTTAGAACACTAGTCCTGAAATAGGGAGTTCCCAGTTCAAATACCTCAGTTCACAAAGCTTACTTAATTCCTTTGGCCAGTCCCTACCTCTCAGGAAACCTTACAGGTTGTTGTGGGGATAAATGGAGAGAAGAGAAGAGAAGAGAAGAGAAGAGAAGAGAAGAGAAGAGAAGAGAAGAGAAGAGAAGAGAAGAGAAGAGAACCATGTAAAATGGCCACCTATATTGTTGGTGGAATTACTAACCTGATTCTGAATAGGACACTTCATATTATATCTTCTCCAAGATTAATGCAACAGTGCTACATTAAAAAAATTAAAACAAAACCCCCTAATTCCCTTCTTTCCAACTGCAGTAGAAGAGAAGTAGCCAAAAGATTGAAGGATGCCAGCAAATTCAGTGTCTTTTGATACTTGGTACAGGACAGTTTGATTACTAGCTTTGGTAGAAGAAATGACTCAACAATTAATGACCTTTGAACACTACAGAATTATAGTATAGTGATTCCAGTTTAATTGCCATGGTTCCCTCCTGTGCATTTCTGTTTTGATTGTGCAAAATAATAATAATAATAATAATAATACTTTTTATTTGATATCCAGCCCCTCTGAGATCAGTCGGGGCGGCTTACATAATAAAATCATAATACAACATTTAAAAACTATTTCCCCCACCTCCCACCCCTTAAAAAGTTATTAAATCCAAACAATTTAAGAACATCAAATAAAAAGAGGATACGTAACTCAATATAGAACATCAAAAACAATAATACAACAAAAAAAAGAAAAAGAAAAAACACTAGCATCAAAGTATAGAGTCTCACTCACAGAAAGCCAGGTCATAATAGGGGAGGGAAAACAGAAATAGACAATTTCAGTCTGTTTTAATTTTATAATTTTTCTGGTACAAATAGAGATCCTGCCAAAGGACCCTGTAATCTGTGTTGTTACCCTTTTGGCCAATTTTAAACACCTTAGATCAGCAACCTGACAGCATAATAGCATTTCAGTTCTTATTTCCAGATATGTGTAGCATGTTTGTTGTTCAAGGATCTACTTGTGAAATTATGTAACATTATCGATCAATTCAGTTTACTCTTATTTATACTGTTTTATCCTTATCCTCATTATGCATGATTGACTTATGTAACTTTTTAAATTAATAGGAAATAGTGTAAATATTTAGTCATTATGTTTAAGATATCAAATAGAGTTATTGCACTGCAATAGTTGCAAACAAACATTTATTGTAATTTAGAAATTTGCCATTGTAGACAATTAAACCTTAACAAATAAATCACTATACAGTTATACAATTTAAAACTTTTATCCTCTTACAATTGAGAATATATACTCTAAGAAGCTGAAGCATTGTTTGGAAGAAGACATCTTGTTATACGAATAAAAGCTTGATTTTTGATCAGTACCATTAAAAGCTTGATCTATTAGTACTTTAACCAGCATGTTAGTTAAGTTCAAAGCCTATGAGAAGTAATGTTTAATAAGAGACAGAGGAGTAAATGGGAAATCCATAGTTCAATCACATTGTTGCCCTGACGTCATTAACTAGCTAGGACTAGTGATGTATTTGTCATGGTTTGCTAAAGACAAATTGGCGATTTCTCAGCCCCTGTAATTGTTTTATGTATTAGCCAAGAAATTTGCCATATGATCACATAGATGTGAGAATTTTCACATGGTTCAATTGCAGGTGAAGTAAAGGGAGGAAAAATCCTTTTGAAGTTCTCTGTTCAAAATTTATTTCTTGTTTTATGGCATCATTGCCGTGAGTGTAAAAGTGTGTTAATTTTGCCACTCAAGTCACATACAAAGCTGTCTTGCCAATGAGATGTTGAAATTGTGTGTTGCTGTTGTTTTTGCAATGGACGTTTTCACACTACCCTCCCTAAAGCCGGGTGGAGCCATTCCGGAACAGCTCGTGCCGCTGATTCCGGAATGGCTCCAGCGGCGGCAGGCTAATTCCTTGTGGACACCCGGAATTACCTTTCCGCCGCTGAAGCCGGAGTTACAGGTCTTTTGGCCGGAATGAGGCTGGACTTACGGCTCCATGTGTTTGAACACACGGAGCGACGAGCCGGACTGAAGCAGGGATGGCACCGGAAGGGGCGGGGTTTGCTGCGGCGTGTGTGTGAACAAGCTGGAAATGGAGCCGGAGTGGGGCCGGACAGAGGTAGGATTGAGTCCTCAAAAAGCCCTGTGTGAAAACGCCCAATGACTGGATTCCCATTTGGCTGGGAGCTGCAGTTCAACAACATCCAGATCTTGCAAGCTGATCTTGGAAGCTATAGAGTCAGTCAGCCTTGGTTAGTACTTGGCTGGAAGACCACCAGGGAATAATACTAGTGCAGTATGCTAGCTTTCAGAGGAAGGAAATGGCAAAATTACCTTTAAAGATTCCTTACCTAAGAAAACCCTAGGAAATTCACAGACTCCTCATATGTTCATAGGCTTCTTAAAGGTGCATGTGTGTGTATGCATGTATATACACACACACATACACTCTGTTATTTCTGCAGCCCCTGTAGCACCAGAGAAACAAAGGGATGAGCCCTAGAAAGTACTGCTTGCATCTTACATAGAATCCTAGAGTTGGAAGAGACTCCCAAGGGCCATCCAGTCCAACCCCTTCAGCCATGCAGGAATACACAGTATCCTAGAGTTGGAAGGGACCCCCCAAGGGCCATCCAATCCAAACCCCTTCTACCATGCAGGGATATGTAAAATGCTAGAGTTGGAAGAGATCCCCAAAGCCATCCACTCCAAGCCTCTTCTGCCATGCAAGAATACATAGAGTCCTAGATTTGAGAGGGACCCCCAAAGGCCATCCAGCATATGTTTGTGTGGTGTCCACACACACGAATTCAACTAGCACAGCTTCTTTGATCCGGATGTTGTTGAACTTTAGCTCTCAGCATTTCTCAGCATTGGCTGCACCAGCTAGAGGATGAACTTGCAAGCTAACAATACCTGAAGAGCCATTTATTACAATAAAGTGTATAACTTCTATCTCCACCCAAAATGATACCCATGACTCCTTCCCAAGATTTCTGGTTAAAGTGGCTGCAAATTTGCAACCACTAGAACTTCGTCTTTAATGGGAACAATGGTGTCATTGCTACCTACATTTCCTCTGAAGATAGCTGTGGGAAAAGAAATTATTCCAGCACCAATATATTGCTGTGAGGTCTGCCAGTTCCAATATAACTTTGAAATGTGAAGTTTGTTGAATTAACTTGGTCTCTGATAGGCAATCAAGGGCCATGAACACTATAAAAGATATGCTTACAATGCTCATGGTTGCCCATTTGAGACATAGGGCCTGTACAAACCTGCCACAAGTGCAGGCCTGGGGGTGGAGTTGGGGCAGGGTGACTGCACACTGGCCACCCCGACTCTGCTCCAATGCCACCATAAGGGCATGTAGACACACTGTACCAAAGGAACACAGAAGAGCCGCAGCGGTGGCAGTAAGGGTGGCTCTTTGCTTCTCTAAAAAGGAGCAGCATTTGCCAGCTCTTTTTGGAGCAGTAAAGACCTGGATCAGGACTGCAGCATGTGGTTGCTGTGGCCCTGATCTGGCACTCCCAGGGGCAACACGGAGCCACCCCTTAGAGGCAGTCTGTACAGCCCCTATGTTATTTTGGTTAGAAGGGATTCTGATGAGGGCACAGAGACTTCCTGGGAGAGGAGAAAGAAAATCAGATATTGAGGGCAAGTTAGGCATTACTAGCCCTTTAAAGTCTGCTACGCCAACATGCTGGATGACTGAGAGAAGCCAGAAGAGGAGTGTGTGAGAAAGCATGGCTGATACCTCTGCTAGCTGCAGTTTTATGCATTCCTGTTAATCTTTTTATATCATTGTGTTCCTCCATATTAATATTTTGGTAGTACAGGGAGTGGGCTGCATGTGGCCCACCGCCAAATTACATGGAAACACATTTGTCCTACTAAATGGGGTTGCAGACTGCCAGAAATAGTGCAAATTGAGTCCACTTTTAGGGTTAGGGTTGGGGTTAGGGAATCATGGGAACTGTATTTTATTGTGGCACCAGAGCTCTCTGACAGAGAAGGCTCAATGTCTCAGGAAAAAAACAATTCCCATGATTCCCTAGCACTAACCCTAACCCTAAAAGTGGACTCTATTTGCATTATTTCTGGCAGTCTGCAACCCCCCTAAGTCTGCTTTTGCAGCCCCTGACCTCTCCAGTCTTTCCTGGCTACACTTTTGTGACCATAAGAAAGGATGAGCTGCCCTTCTTGGAAGGATCCAGGAGAAAGACTTTGGCTTTGAAATAGCTTACATCTCACTGCACTA